TTTTATATCAAATATTTTTATAAAGGTTTTATAAAATTCAGATGAAAACAACTTGACCAATCACAATGCTGCATACAGCCCATATAGAATATCTTTCATGTGTATAGCAGTAAATCAACAATATAGGATAGAGGCAGTGTTGATTTGCTTATTTTTTCGTGGGTTTCTATGCTATTTAGTAATAGCTGACAACTGAATGTTTTGTAAAGTCGTATAACTATAGAAATAAAACATTGACAATATATTCAAGAATTTGATAGAAGTCTACATACAGTGATTAAAAAGAAAAATTTAACTATTTATGTCATTGTCAAGAAAATTTAAAACAATAAACAAAAATGAATGAAAGAAATGTCCATAATAATGCTAATTACATTTTCTACACATCTATTATATATCGTTTTATACTCTTATCATGTATGAACAAACAAATACACAAAGTCCTGAAATACATAAGAGTAATTTGAAATCAGTGTAAGAATCTTATGAGGTAAATGTTTTATCAATATTTTACAATTTTTAATGAAACTTTTATTTAAAAATTTATTTATTGTTTTTATCAATTAATTGATAATTATAATGTATTAGTTTTTCATTGTTTTATTATTCATTGCGAGTTTTTATTTATTTGTTATCTACTACTACATTGTGCGTCTTTATTTAATTCAAATTTATGGTTCGTTTGGGAACAGCGCCCTCAACCAGGTTCAATGTCCAGAGTTCAAGTCAGTCAAAATGTCTGATCAGTCACGTAAACGGACAGATTGTTTTGCTTCCGTTTTATATCATAATATTGGTTATCTAATTCACGTTGGGAATGTTGTCAAATCATATATGTTAATAGGATACTAGTACTTTTACTCCTTAACAGCACTCACCCTGTGCCACCCCAATACATGGGCCAAAACAACATAAGACAACGCTTCTAGCACTATGCTGATATACTCACCTAAATGCAATAATTCCCTCGTAATTGCTTTGCCAATACCAGACCCGCCACCTGTAACTATGGCAACTTGGTTGGTAAACAATCCTGGTCGGAAAACACTTAAAACTTTATTACATGCCATACCCCTAAAGTGTTGATCAGTACCAGATGGCCTTGACGCAGGAAAGTCAAAAAGCGCCACCAATAGTAACAACTTCATGTGACTTCGTGAAACCCTGTCTCGTTTTTGTCACCAATGGCGCATAATGTGAAAAGAAAAAGAAATAGTCTTGGCAAACAAGAGGTTCACAAATGTAGGATAATGCATTTTTTATATCACTTTTTTTATTTTCTAGATATTATTTTTTTCATCAGTAGTATATAGTCCACCATCTTGATACTCTAGTCCGGCAAAGGTTTGTGGGTACTCGAATAGTAGTCAAATTAAAGAAATACGTGTTTTGGTATTACGTTTAGGTTGGTATATAGTATCAATTATTTTTTTAGCAGATGCACGTTAAAATGAATTTTAAATTAGGTTTTAGTTGAATTTCATAGAATTAAATGGGGTCTTCGAATGGATACTAATTATAAAATTCAGCATTAACGTCAAAATATCAAATGGTCAAAGATTATATATAACGTTAAGAAGACTGATTGACCTAGTGAAATCTCATACACCATAATTGGTAGATCTTAATTTTAATATTAAATGGCAAAAGTGGTTATATCATGTTTTTGTTATAGACAAAAGAGTACTAAAAACAAAGACCCATATAACAAATATAAATATAAAAAATACGCACAAATTATTTAAAACAATGGTATAATCGAGCTCAAGAAGACAGTGCGTCGGATTACTATTAAGTTGGAAATGATTTCAGCTAAATATAACAGTAAATATCGTCTCGGATCAAACACAGCGATAATCTACTTTATTCATTTCATATTCATTATTACTTTTTCCCCCATTATTACAAAGAAAGAAGATGGGCAACTAGGTGATATCGTATTATCTGTCAAAGATTTTGCGTGAATGTACATTTGAACTGAATCCATTGCTATGTGCTCTGTTTAATAAATCACTCATTATTGGTATTGTTCCAGATAGTGGAAAGTAGCTAATATCGTTTATTTTTTTTAGAGAATAGTGAAACCTGTCGCCCTATCTTATTGCTTTATCAATGGGTACTTTCACATTAAAATATTGTAATTTAAGGTTAAAAAGCGAATGTGTTTGACCAAGCCGCCGGTGTATTCGTTATATATATTTCCACATTTTTAGATTTCAGAGCAAGCAATTATACATCGCAGAATGTTGGATTAATAAAAATGCGTTCAACGTTATCAGGGCAAATAACTTTCACAGACACAAAGTGTTTCAACTCGAATGAAAGCTAACATAATGAGGTAAAGTTCAAATATTATAAGAAGAATAAAAATGAAACAACTGGGACCTAAAAAAAATATAAGCCGTTATTTAATTCAGGCAATGTCATTTATTTAAATATGGTGCAATAATTAAATGTGAATTCGACTTATTCACGATAAAAACTGGAAATCCGGGAAAACTGAACTGCAGTATTCAGCGATAAAACAAAGTATAAAGAACAATGGATCCAGCGCAAAATCAGAATGCCAACTACAAGACTGTGTCGGTTAGTTGCTCGCTGGTGACTAGCAGTTTGATGACTTGGAGTGGCCAATGAATCATTCACTAAGCAAACCACGTGTTCAGCAATTGAGGCTAACAATCCATTATCACAGTATACAATAAATCTCTCTTCCTTCGGTATATTAGATAGCTCAAATTAATTTTATTTTGTCAGTGTCATCAACAAATGTATTATACTCAATACTTAAATGTACTTAGCATGGGACGAGAGGCTTATTAAAAGTATATCAGTGATCACTTGCGTTAATGGGCAGATACATTTTGAAAGTCGAGGATTCATTTTCACATGTAAAAACTGTTAAAATACCTTCAGATTGAAGTATGCTGGCAATTTACTTTGTCGTGTAAAACGACTGTTCTTGGTTCAAATTTATTCAAACATAAGAGTAGGTTGTGAAAACTTTGTGTAATATAAATTATGTCTTATAATAATGATTATTTATGCTCTTCTGTTCTGTACTTGGTAAATATGGTAAATACACGAATGTTCCAAGGTTACTGCATTAATAGTATATTCAACCCGTTCTTTTTATTGATTGGTTGGTATTGTCCTGTCTCTGTGTACGTCACAGTAACACAAATAATGCATGATTTATATGGTAGACGATGGTATAAAATAAATTTCATATTTGCTAAAGGTAGGTAGTTTTTGCGAACTCAAGCACGAGTACGTTTCTTCGCTAGGACCCAATACACGTGAGTACTTCTTCAAGTTTTAGTCTCTCGTTTCTACGTATTATGTCAAATTATTACAAAAAAGACACATTTCGACACAGTAAAGTACTGAATTTTTCCTTGGAATTCATTTTCAGTGAAGGGATGAATCAGTGAAAATATAATCCAGTGAATATAACTATATAACAATATATATATATATTGCAAGGGAAACAAACTACTCACAAATACAGTACGCCATAAACAACAAAAATATAGTCCCGTCAAGTTTGTGGAACAATCTGTGTTATAATCTATGTTTATAATTAGTGTTTCTACTACATATCTTTCATATCAAAACTGAACTGATGTGTGTCTTCCACGAGATACGCATATCATAACGCCAAATCTGTAAACTAAAGTACCTCTATAAGCACTGTGTTGGTGTGTAACAACGTCGGCAAGTAGATAGCAGGGAGTTACTATGACATCGCTCTCAGCCTTCACTATAACAATATTTGTTATTCATATTTGTATTTAGTATAAGTACCCCTAAAGTGTTGATCAGTACCAGTACCAGTATCAGTACGGCCTAGATTTAAAACAAACAATTGTTACTGTACAGTAAATATGAGTGATTTGTCACCCGTGACGAGTATGATTTATTACACTTATGGTGCTTTCCATGGGGACGATTCATCGGGACACTGCAAGGCGTTCTTTTAGTGATCGAAATAGTAAACATGGTTTGTGGCTTCAGCCCTGATTATAATATTAGATTGATTTTATTACAGTTCAAATGTAAATCAAAATACATTTCTATTTGAGCGTTTAAAACAGGGAAAATAAAGTCTAGGTTAATATTGTTGAAGGTGGTGGCTGGACAGTGATAGCTGCCAGAGATCGAAGGCAGACAGACTCTCCTGCCAGAATCATACGAGAAGGACTGAATATATACGGTTTAAGGTGTAGGATTTAGTGATGAACCAAAAAGAAGTTGTTAATCACAGGGACTGTGGCTTAATATTATATTTAAATGTGTTAAGTAGTTGCATGGATGGTTGGAATAATAGTCTTGGGTCAAGTCTTTCTTTAAACGCCCGTCCCGCATACATGCACACTCCACCTCAAAACATCGACACTCTCTTACTAACATTAGTAATTGGTAGAGAAGGGGCGAATTACGAGTAGATTATGACGTCACAGCATTATTATGTCATCATAACTTATAGAATGTAAACATAATCCGTTCGCTAACAACTCGTTTCAGGAAAACATCACAAAAGTTTACAATGACGTCAAACAACTTTGTTGGTGTGAGACATAAAAACAAATTGTGCATCGTAATTATTACAGTTGACTGCCACGCTATGACGTCACACACGAAACATTGGCGATTGTACGATTCATGTGATATTTCTCACATCGGGATAATGTACATGCTCTTATTTCTTCAACAAGATAAACAAAAATTTCGAAACCATCCTCAATTTAAGTTTGATCTTTACCTGTATAACTCTAATTGGCTTAGGGGTGGGGTTTGTTTCCTAGCAACAAACACGTCACTGAAGCTATATAAATACCGTACACAAATAATAACGCTTCTTATTAATGTTTTCGCGCCAACACTATGAGTGATTTCAATTTGTACTTTTGTGACTCCCATTTCCGCTAACGATATCATATCTAGGTTAATTTGTCGAGCGTCTTGCAGGATAAACTGTCTTCAGTCTGTAGTGAATCATGGAAGAAAAAACGGGTGGTGCTCAAGTTGTGATGTCCCAACCATCTTATGTGCAGTCGCAAAACCCCAATAATACTACGGTATGTTCATTTGTTTGTATTTGTGATATCTCAGGGAAGATGCATCAGTTCAGACTAGAAAACGTGCATCGAGATATTCGCAATTTATAGGATGCTTGTATGTCAGGATTTGTATTTGTGAGTTCGAATTTTAGTGAAAACAAACCTGTTTTAAAGTGACGGACTAACACAGAATTGAGTAACTTTTCAATAAAATGTGGTTGATTCGGCCTATTTTGTAGAGCTGGTTGAAATAACGTTACGAATTAAAAAAAATAAAAGTAGGAAACCACACATTTCAACTCAAACCAAAGTTCGTCAAATAAAAAACAAATACATTGATTACTCCATTTTATTTTATCCAAGATTATAAGTAACTCTGTGATGATTCTCAATTTCCAGAACGTAATTGTGGTGGAACAAAATGGATTCTGGTCAACGGGACTGTTTGGCTGTTTCGGTGACCTCGGAAGTTGTAAGCTTCTAAACTAATATCGCATCTACCTTAAATAATTGTTATTAAAGTACCTACCTAATGGAAATTACATCGATAGTTATGTGTCTCTTTAAATATTTCTGGAACATTTTTCAAAATATGGGTTATTTCTGAATTGTCAAAAAATAATCGAGATATCCGTCATACTATTTAATTTGTGATGTATGCGTTTGTAGGTTTGGCGGCTACCTTCTGCTTACCGTGCTACCGATGTTACTTGGCAGATAAAGTGGGTGAAAACATGTGTATGCCATGCTGCGTTTGTCCACCCAATGACTTAATAGTATTACGAATGAAGATAAGAACCATGAATAACATACAGGTAAGTCAAAGTCATCCTCATTGGCACGTCGATTGTTGGTGAACTTACATACCTTGCAAAGTGTGGTAGTGTACACTCTTCAAGCTGTTTTGCAAGTTGGCACGATTTATTACTTCTATGAACGACCTGGAAATTGCTATTTTGGTAGAGTCAATGCGTTTTTCTGTGTGTTATACCATAACAGTGAACCCGCTATCTGAGATTTGCAAAGTTGGATAGTGTTATTTGGGTTATGTTCCTATAACGATTACTGTTACAATTCAAAAACGTAGTAATAATGTTCTGTTCGAGTTAACGAGTAGGCGGGAAATGAACAAACCTATCTCAGACGAAATTTCTTGTGAACTGAAATGATGGCACTGAAGTAAAAATAGGATGTAATACTTCGGAAACTAAATTATTCAAATCGTAGGTTCTTACGATTCTTATAATTAATCACGATATGTAATTGTTCAAAACAATTGGATTACGCACATACTCACACCAGCATGTATATATTTCAAATTATTTGATGTGACATTTCCTGTCCGTAATCCGCACTCACTGATACTTCGGCCATTTTGTTGGCACGGGATAACATATTTGACTGCATATCTCGCATCTGCTATCAATTATCACTGTTATGCTCTTCATGTAGTTTTGTATTTATTCCATCAGGGTGGTGCAATCAGCGACTGTTGTGCATCTTATTGGTGTCCTTGTTGTGCTGCAACTCAGATTTCACGGGAATGGGACAGTGGTCATTAGAACAGATACCAAATGTGACGTAATAGACAACAAACGGATAACGTTAAGGAACAATATAGATTTTATGTTTTAAAACTATACTGCAAATTGAGATTACAAATCATGTAGTCTATTTACTTAATCATTTGCTACTCAAATAACTGCATGTAATTATTATCTATCAAAGATGTCATTAAATCTCCTTACAAATTCGGATACAACGAAGCTCATGGTCGAAACATCTTGTTATAATAAATAATGACCAAGGACTACAACAACCATTTTCTGCATATTATTTACAAGACTGGAATCCAGACATTCTGAATACATTAGAGAATGGTCTGGCGATTCGCTATGTAACTCCGTTTTCGGCACAGAATTCAGTGTCATCACTGATTAGCTGTCTTCATGGCTTCAGTACATACCATGAGAACAAAGAATGTCCGTATGTAAGGCCTGCCTACAACACTCCACATCAATTCACTAGTCATAGATTCATATTATTCATAGATTTTTCAAAATCTTACGATCATAGATGTCATCTTGTCCAAATTCTCCTTTTCACTGGTATTAATGTTTGATTGTGTTTCTGTTTTGAAATATACAGTTTCTCACTGATTCAATTACCACTTGTTGCAATTATTATATTTATTATAAATCATACAAAAATAAATGGCGTCAGTAAATATAAAATGACATAAAACTATTACAGCTCGTTGAAAATAACCACCTTGAATGTGTCATTTATTGCACATTTATTTTGCTAATTGCTGACAAGCCCTGGTAGTTATTTGCTGCAATTTAATCTTGTTTATTTTATATTAGCTTAGGGGTAGGACTATTAGAAACCAGGAAGGTGGCAGAATAGGAAAACCTGATGGTAGAAATAGGTCCCCGAATGTCACCAAATGTACATAACCGTAAATACCAAGTATCAAATCAATTTAACTTGCAGTCATTAAGCAGAAGTCAAATAGCACCTTCGACCAAATATGAAAAATATATTTGGTAAATTACTGTTATCACCAAGAAATATTCAAATCTAATAGAGGTCCACCAAGGAACATATACACCAAGTATAAAAGCAGTTATCAAAGAAAATGTTGATGTGGGACGTCAGACAGTGATGACAATAGACAATCATATATACCAACAGCTCTGCCTGACAGTAGAACTTAAACAAATGCACAGAAACAAATCACAGGAATAAAATCCTGCAGGAGTCAATAGAAGAGAACAAAACATTAACTGCTAACTCTATTTTGTGTCAATTTTTCATCTCTATATTACACAACTTCAGAAAATTACATAATTACACCACAAACATTTTGTAAAAAAATTCACTTACAAGTAGTATTTGATTAAATATAAAGATTGAAAAACATGTCTGACCTTGGGACTCAAATGACGTAATATCTTCTGACAATAGATTATTTAAAGACCACAACTGTTTTACCAATCCATGCATATAGTCTGCATATGTTATTATTGAAAATCTCACGATATCATTTTTGAACAGCAAATAACAATGCATCATTAAATAAATTTTCTTGAATAAATAGAAAACATTGTATAATAGTAAATTTGTTATTGTAAAGTAAATATAAGAGCAATTATACAATTAAATACTACATATATAAATTGTCAGCTTTGAAGTATCGTCATATATACCATATATGGTATACAGAACCCAGTAAAAATATACATATTATATTACATATAAATATTACAAATTACATACAGGACTGAGCATTTCTGGTTGAGGTAGAAATACAATTCATGCCATATCTGTGTATTTCTGGTATCCAACGCCCATTGAAGTGACATAGTAAGGTTGTGATAACACAG